AATTAATAACTAGGCCACAGAGGAGGACTTTGCAGCCAGTCCTGAAGACACCTGATAAACCAGTATCAGATGAAAGGGGAGGAGGTTCTCCCCTATTAGTGGACTTGGAAAGGGGCAGGAAGAAGATGAGGGTGGAAGGGTGAGATTGGGAGGGAAAGAGGGAGCAGGATACAGTAGGGATACAAAGTTAACAAACTATAACTAATGTTAAAAAAATAAAAATTAAAAAATAAATCCACATTCACTGCAATTGTAAAAAAAATTAAAAAATTATAAATAAAAGAAAAATGTTTTGGAAGCACTTGCCCTTGAGGTGTGATAAAGTGGTATGAAGTGTTGCCTGTTTCCGGATCAGTGGCACCGTGGTCAGCTGAATGAGATTCTGCCCAGCCCAGATTCATTTGTGACAGGTCAAAGCTTATCAAACTCTCCACTCCTTCTGAGGAACACTCCTTAAAACACCCTCCCACCTCCACATAAAGTACATCTTCTGTGACATTCTAGGACCTTTTATGAGAAATTTCAGAGGTTGAAGCTGACTCTATCACTTTCCATTCCAGTGATCAGATGGCTGGAAAGCAAATGCATCTCACAAGGTTGGAGAAGTAATCTTGGTGAGAAAAAAAAAAAGTCCTTGAAACAGTAAGTACACTAAAGTCCTCAACCCCTTCAAAGCAGCACTCAGTAAAATATTGAGAAGAGATAGGTCCATGTGAGTCCTGAGGAAGTGACATGCTCATTCATTTCTTTGTCTCCCATTTAGGCTCAAGGCCTCAAGCAGAAGAGTAACTTTGTAGTAATAGATACCCAAGCTCTGCATGGCAAGGGTCACAGCCCCCACCTACCAATCTAGATGGCAGTGACCTTTCATTGCTCTGAAAAAAAATCGCACTGACTGTCACTCATATCTGAATTGAGACTGAGTTAGTTTTGTTCTATTAGCTCATGTACACATAAATTTAATGGTGATCCCTTCTTAAGCATTATTCTGTACTAGGGGAATTACAAGTTACAGGCACTATCAGGTTAAGCTTTATATCTGTGTCGCATTTCATTGTCAAACAATAACTGTCCCCATTTTCACAAGTGAGTAAATCGAGACACAGAGATCATAAGACCCTCTGTCCAGTGTATCAGGACTCACACTGGCCGATGAGGATCTGAACTTACAGCTTCCAAAAGCAAAGTGCTTCTTGTTATATTATTGGACTTTGTTTTCATGTCAGAGAATATGCTTTAAATAAGAATTTTTCTCTTATTGGCAATGGGGAGTTGAATCACAAATGGAGTATCTGTATCACATACCCTACCAAGGCTTGGGGACTGTTTTCAAAGAGTAGTAAAAAGATTGTAGGAGCCACAGGTCAGGGAGGACTAGAGCAAAGCTGTGTCCTCTGAACATGCCAGGACCACTGCACTCATGAACCCAAAGCAGTAGTATTTCTTTGTACAAGATCTACACAGTATGAAGTCATTCAGTGCTTTTGCCTGAAGTGTTTCTTAAGGTTTTATTGCTGTAAAGGGACTTCACGGTCACTGCAACTCTAATGAAGGAAAGCATTTAAGTAAGGTTAGCTTACAGCTTCAGAGGTTTAGTTCACTATCTTCATGGGGTGGTGGCTAAAAGCCCCTTCTCTAGCTAGGAACTGTTGACAGATGATGGCTTTTGATGGAGGGGGAGTGTGTTGACCACACTCCCATGTATGGCCTCACTCCTGTGAGTATATGGGCAGCACAAGTCGAACACAGTGGTTTATAAAAAGAGAATATGATGGGGAGAGGGAATACAGAGGTGAGGGGTGCATCTAGAAGGTGTTGTGGAAGGAAGGAATGGGTGAATATGGTGAAAATACTTTATGTGAAATTCTAGAAAAATTATTAAAATTATTGTTTGTTTTTTTTTAAATGCCTCTCCAAGAAAATTAGAGACAGGCATATAGTAGTAGCCAAATAGTCTTAGACTTGTCATTCCAAAAAGGAACTAATAAAGAATCTTTCTCCATGAAGTAGTGTGACTGGATTAACACGTTTGCCACACAGACATTCAATCTTGAATGACTGTCACTATGTCCTCGCTTTGAATGAATGCTGTTCTGTCCTGCTTCCCCATCTCCTGTGCAGCACAGTAACCCACCCCAAGTGAAGTGTCATCACTGACACTTCTTTCATCTAGTTGCCTAGAAAAAGACCTATACTAGATCTGAAGCGCACACAAGGCATTAAAGAGAATGGTATAAGTTCAAGAGATCTGCTTGGGTCCAACTTACAAGATAATCATTGGGAAATTGCGTCACTGGCCAAATATAAAGGAGTTGTTGCAGGTAAAGAACTTTTCTCGGTTTCATTAAAAATTAAAAACACACATTAAAAACACACACCATGGTTAGGAACATGGGTTTTAAAGTCAATCTGAGTTAAGACCACAAATAGTCAGGCGTCACTGTGAGCATCTGCGTTCCCACCACATACAAGACTGAAGCAGGAGGATTCTAAATTCAAGCCCACCCTAAACTATTATATAGTGAGTTCCTGGCCAGCCTGAGATGTGCAGTGTGACACTTTAAAATATCATAACTTTAAAACAAATAAAATAATAAAACCTCCAAACGACAACCACTTTATGTAAAATTAGTCAATAAGTACTAATTAGTTGTGTCCTGTGTGTCAAGGAAGGAAATTCCATATTCACTTATTTTGTGAATATGAAAGGCAATGAATTCTGCACACTTTGATCTCTTCCTTTATTAAATGGGCATCTCAGTTAAGCTCGCGGCATTGCACAGTCTATAAGAAATAGTACATCGAAGATTATCAAGACTGTGCCCAGTGGTGGGAGTACCATTTGGACTCGGTAGAACATATGTGCACCACTCTTGTTTGCTGAACACAAAAGTCCCGTAGTTTTATGACCAAGACTTCCACTTTTCCGAAAAAGACACATTCAAAGTGCCCTCCAGCACTGGGAATAGGGGCTGTCTCTGACTCCTTTGCCTGTTTTTGTGACCCGTTTCATTTTATTGGGTTGCCTCATCCAGGTTAATATAAGGGGAGGGGTGCCTAGTCTTATTGCAACTTGGTTTACCATATTTGGTTGATATCCCTGGGGGGTCTGCCCTTTTCTGTAGAGAAAGGAAGGAAGTATGGGAGAGGAAAGGTGGAGGGGAGGGCCTGGAAGGAGAGGAGAGAGGGAGAGTGCAGTTGGTGTAATATGAGAGAAAAATAAATGAAAAAAAAAGTGCCCTCCAGTTCTTTCACTTAGCCTTTCTGGGAAATGTCAGGTATTTATCAGTCCTCCAAGAGAGAGCTTATGATGGCTGAGAAGTGTTGACTACCCAGAAGCTACAGAGATGAGCATTATTCCAGTGGTCTGAGTCTCCCACACCAGTGAATCCTGGAGCACCAGAAGTTTCTGGACCTCCAGGAGCTGAATGGAGGCCTGAAGCCTGCCAGCCTTGGCTTCCTCCCTAGAAAAGTTCTTCCATTCTTTGCTGCCAGTGCAGATGTTTGTCATATTATTCATGTGTATAGTGTCTTCCCCAAAAATCCGTTGGCTTTCCAAGGCTGGCATAGTTAGGCAACCACTGGAAACCCGGGAATCCAGACCGACAAGAATCTGGCGTAAAGACAGGGGACCTGCTGGGCTCATTAGTGCATGTCAGGCTCTGGAGAAACCAAGAATGGCCTCCTTGGGCTGGCAACCTGGGAACCAGTCTTTCAATCACTTCTTGGAAGCTGAACTCCAGTCTGAGATACTGTACAAGCAGGAGGGAGAGAGGTGGTTCATGCTGTCATAACAAAATTCTAGATGACTAAAGAAACAAGCATTAAGTCTCTCTTAGTTCTAGAAAGGAGAGTTTTACAAAGCAGAATGATTAGGTTTGCTGAGGACTTTCCTTTCTGACTCACATATGGATAGCTTTTGGCTGATTTTTACCTAGAGAATGAGAAAGATGTCTCTTTTTGTAAAGGTACCAGTCCTATAACAAGGACACAGTGGTCTCATCTAAACTGAAATACCCTGCAGAAACCTCATTCTCAAATACAATGATGGTGGAAGTTGAGGTATATGAACATTGTGAGGGACACAGTCAAATTTTTTTTTGTTAATTAGCTTTTTTATTTTATTTTAATTAATTAATTTATTTTTTTAATTGAAGGTCTCTTACTGGTCCTGCTTCCATGAGTGGCCAAGATCACGGGAAAGGGAGGGCAACCAGACTGCGCAAGGAGGGTCATTTCCACATTCCATTTACACACAGAACTAAACAGACAAGCACAGAATCACTATTGTGGTTAGAAGTTGGCAGCATGGGAGGGTTGAGGAATAGGGGTGTCGTTAAAAAGGCAAAACAAAACAAAAACAAAAACCCAAAACAGCCCCCCCCCAAACTGGGTGCCTGGGACAAACTTGGTCTACTTCAACCCAAGAGGAATCAGAAAATCAAAAGCAGTAAGAGCTGGAGAGGACAGGAACCCCACAAGGAGAGCAACAGAACCAGAAAATTTGAACACAGAGGTCTTCCCAGAGACTCATACTCCAACCAAGTACCAGGCATTGAGATACCCTAGAACCCCTGCACAGATGTAGCCCATGGCAGTTCAGTGTCCAAGTGGGTTACATAGTGATGGGAACAGGGACTGCCTCTGACATGAACTGATTGGCCTGCTCTTTGATTACCTCCCCCTGAGGGGGAGCAGCCTTACCAGGCCACAGAAGATGACAATGCACCCACTTCTGATGAGATCAAATAGACTAAGATCAGAAGGAAGGAGAGGAGGACCTCCCCTATCAGTGGACTTGGGGAGGGGCATGCTTGAAGAAGGGGAAGGGAGGGTGGGACTGGGAGAGGGAGGGGCTTATGGGGGGATACAAAGTGAATAAAGCGTAATTAATAAAATTAAATTAAATTTAAAAAATATGAAAAAAAGCAGTTTGGGAAGGCCAGAACCGTCAGGGTTGGAGGGAAGAGGATGGTCCAGGGGGTAGGAGGGACGGACGTTTGGCAACTGGGGTGAAGGGATTGCCCTCCCCCTGCTGGGTTCCCCCCAACCCCTCCGGTCTGGCAGGAAAGGGGCAACCTGCAACACCCAAGAGCAGGTCTGGGGCTGCTAGATGCTCCAGGCAGGGGGCTGGAGGTAGCTCACAAAGGCTTGCCCTCCAGGGAGATGACGGCACTGCCACCTAGTTTCCTGCCAGAGTGCAGCGGTCCTTGACCTCTTCTTAGCAGTTTGCTTGTAATTCATGCTTGATTCCTGTCAGTTTCTTCATAATAGCATCCTTGGAGCTGGCATAGATCATTTTGCTCTTAAGGGGTTAACTCTCAGGGGCCCAGAAGATGAACACCAGGTCCTCCTTCTTGCTCTCCTTGGTCTCATAGGTTGCATCGTAGAGGGCATAGCGACCGTCCTTGTCGGACAGCATCTTGACAAACGTGGTGTAGGGGTCATCCTCAGTCTGCCCCACATCTCCTACCAGGATCTCCTTGCCCTCCTCCAGGATGATGTTCTTCCTGTCCTCACTAAGGCAGAAGAGCACTGCCTTCTTGCGTTTCTTCACTTCTGGCGTTGAGGACTTGCGAACTTTCACGTCATTGAACACCTTAATGACACCATCAGAGACAGCCACACCAGAGGCCGTGGTTCCAGAAAGTAAAGGGAGACAGAGAGAACAGGAGAACCAAACCACCGCAGCTGCTGCCGGGGTCCAACTGAAATCCAATATTTTTTAAATAAGCCTTTGATTGTGTATTGAGTCTTGTCAATTTGACTGATTGTATTTAAGAGGACTGCAGTCAGCTAAGGAAACACAGAAAGAGAAATCCGAATAGCAAAAATTCAGTAAGTCAATACAAAAATTTAGCATTTTTATTATAATTTTAAGGTATAAATAGACATCATTATAGTGTCAACTATACATAGTCTGAATAATAACTGCAAAGGATTAGTGTTCTCATTTAGTAATGAATACACCAACGTCTAGCTGTAGTGATCAAGTCCTCTGGAGACAATCAATGAAGTAAGGAGTTTCTTAGTTTGTGACCGAATGTTTACAGTACCTCTTGACATATGGTTGCAGGAAGTGTAGAGGAATAAGCTTAGGCAGTACCACTGTCAGTTCTCGGGAATTATTCAATGAATGAAGATACAAATTAATGAATTAATAAATACTTAGGCATATTTTATTTGGGAGTAAATATTTCTATATGCATGCATTTCTATACTTAATTGTTTTTTTTAACCTTCTGAGGCAGGGGCTCTCCCCGAAGTTTCTAGGCATACCTTGATACATCAGCTAGACTTTAGCATACTTTGCTACGCTTATTTTTAATCTTCCCTTCATGTCTTATTCTTTATTCCATACTTAAGAGACATTGGAGACTCAGGCTCTGTACTCATGGTGATGGCGAAGGCGGAAGACAGCTAGCCAAAGATGCAGGGAGCATCTCTCATCCCAGTTACAGCATGCCACTCACACCCCTGGCAGGATGTTGTAAATGCAAAATATTTCCCATATGCTCGTGTGTTTTAACTCTTGGTACCAGCTAATGGAACCATTTGGGAAGATTATAAAATGTTTGGGAAGCGAAGCCATATTGAAGAAAGTGACTCATGAAGGATGGGCCTTGAGGCTTTATAAATGGGCTCCACTTCCTGTTCTGTTTTCTAAGGAATGATGTAGCAATCTAGACTCCTCCTCCCTCACCATGCCTTTTCCTTTGCTGCCATGTGTTCTCCACTGTGACAACCTCTGAACTGTCTGCCGCTATAAGCCAAAATAACAGCTTTCTCTCCTAGTTTACTTTTTCCAGGGAAATGGGAAGGAAATGAAGACACATGACAATTCAATATCTACCTTTGATGTTAGGGGGATTAATATACTGTACCTTGGAACAGGGGCTTTGTGGGAATGGCTAATTCTCTTAAATTATAACAAAAGAGAAGAAAATTCAACTTAACAGACACTTCCTTCAAGATTCAGAAAAGCTGAAGTTTTCTTACTTCTCAGAATCATTTCTTCTTCACCAAGCCTGCTTCTCAGGTTTAATGTTTAAATATTACCTGTGGTGACTGTTATAATACATATGTAGTTCAGTATTCCTTTGGTCATTTTCTTTTATAACTCATTGAAGAGCATATGTCTTAGTTATCTTATAATAGAACCAATAAGTGATTTCTCTCTTTCTTTCTTCATAATTAATTGATTCTATTATTTTAACTACCCTTTGTTGATGGATGAGTGATTCTACAAATATTGTTTAAGCATACTATTCTAAGCAGCATCACAGCATTATTGGAATTTTTTTGTCTTTGCTTCCAATATTTAATACTAGATAAGTAGGTATTTAATTCTTTCTCTATTTCTTCCATGAAACCTTTTCTAAGCAAATATATGAACTTAGAAGAGCATGCTTTACTAAATTTGCAATTCAGAAAGCAAGAATCAAGTAGGAAAACAGGAACAGGGAAGTCCTCTTACTAAGTGGGATGCCTCCAAGTAAATACCGCTGCCATTTCAGTGACACTAAGGAAGGAATGTTTCCGTAAAAGAACTATTAACACTCGGTCTCCGCCAAGGACTCTGATGGGTGCTTGGGAGCTGGGAAGACCAAATTCAGTCTCTGAACTCATAGATCAACAGAGACCACATTCAACAACTCACTCATTCACTCTTTCCTTTGCTTACTCAGTTGGCAAATGAGAAACAAGTCATAATTCTACTGACACATTGGTAAATAATGTAGGTTACTGTCATAACCATTAAACTCTAATGGAGGGACTATTTTAAGAACATTTATAATATATATACATTTAATACATGTGTGTGAGTGAGCAAGCGAAAGACAGAGAGAGAGAAAAAAAACAGGTCTCGTTTTAGATATTCCTAAGGTCATTTATTGCCCCCTTTTTCTTTTCTTTTTTTCTTTGCTTTTATTTATTTTTCTTTTTTCTCTTTGTTGTTATTGGGATTTGAGTTATAGACAGATATTTTGCTTCAGTCAAGATGAGAACCTGGGAACATGAGTTTTGCCTTGTTTACTAGAAGCCCACCATTACAAATTGTTCATGGGGGCATAATATCAAGTACATATAATCTCAATATTTTGGAGCTAGTAGCAGAATAATCAATTACCATGATCTACACAGAGAGTTCCAGGCCAGCCAATGGTATATACTATTAATATATATATTAAAGAAAAAATATTGTTTACCAAATCTATGCCTGGGGAAAACTATAGGCTGGTGATCCCCAGATGTGGCAATTTTTCACTTAATACAGTAAAAGATTCTGAAGTTCTTTTAAAGACTGAAAATCCCTGCATTTAGCCTTTTGTTTTAGAATTCTTAGGTACTAATATTTTCTTTTTTATGTATTTTTTTCATTGCCCCAGAGTTATGTGACACAGCATGTTTTAAGGTGTTTCCATGCAAGGCATGAAGAGAAAACAATCACAGCCCTCTAAGAGCTGAGTTTTGAAAGACATATTGATAGAAATGAAGTAGGATTTCTGATAAAGCAAATGTAAGCAAAGAAATATTAAAATAATGAACCAAAGAACCAAGGAAGAGAAAAGGGAATCTAAAATGCTGAAATGGTAGAAAAACTTGAATAAATATTTTTAACTGTGAAGTCTTTTAAAACTTCAGCTTGTTACTTAAAAAAACATCTGGAACCCCAAGCCTGGAATAGGAAGGAGAAAAATTGAATGGAGGCCTAGTTTCTTTTTATTATATATACTGATATAGTCAAATTTTATCCACTGAGCCTTTTTCTCCCTCATTGGGTACAGGTACAGGCTCTTCTAGAACACACTATGCTGATTCTCTCATTCACCTGTCACCAGCTAAACACACCACAGAGCTTTCCTCGGGGGCTAAAGCTCAGTGTGGTACATCAACTGCAAGGCCTCAAGAATGTCACCGTGAATGAGAAACATGTACGAAGCACTTCCCCCAAAGAAAACAACAAACCCTAGAAATCCGTTCTTAAATGTCAGCTCTAGGTCAATATTGCTCAACCTGTGGTACACGGCACCTTTGTGCGTAGAAGGACCCTTCTACAGGAACTGCATGTCAGATATTCTCTATATTATATATTTATATTATGATGCATTACAGTTGTGAATTATAGTTCCAAAAAATAGAAACAAAAAGTAATTTATGGGTGGGTCACCACAACAGGAGGAACTATAATAAAGGGTCACAGCATTGGGAAGGTTGAGAACCACTGCTCTAGAGTGTCTCAGGACGTGCCTTCCGGTACGACATTCTTACCTCCAAACTTCTGCAGGGGCAGAGGGAGGGCAGGGCTATACGATGCCAAGTACCTAAAGAGCATTCCAACTAGTTAATGGAATTTGCAGTTTGAAAAGACATTTTTGTAACAACCATGTCCAGAGAGCAAGGTCCTTACACAGAATGGCCTCAGGTCAGGCAAATACTGAAGGGACACTCAGCCAAAGCTTCCAAGCCCCGTGGCAATGAGGCTCCAGTGCAAGGCCCATCAAAAGGTCCACAAAGATTACCAACTGCATCTGCCAGTGAGACACTTAAGCAGGAGGAAGCAAGTCTGCCAGGGCAGAGTCAGTATTGGCAATCGAAAAAAACACTGTGCCTGCGGCCACTGGCTGACTACATCTGCACACTGATCTTTGGACTCTGGCCTGGCTCATCTGAAGCTTCTGCCAATGAGAGCTGCTTCCACCTGGCTTTCCTAAAGTATTAGGGCAGCTGCTGGTAATGACAATAGGTTTAAAAATAATAATCATTTTACATCCTTGCTGTACCCAATCCCTCCTTTCCTCTCAGTCTCACCATCCCTCCCTCCTCCTGCCCCTTCCTCTCTCCTTTTCCTTAGAAAAGGGGAACTTCCTTTCTCACCCAGCTCATCAAATTGTATCAGGACTGAGCATGTCCTCTTCTCCTGTGGCCTGGTAAGGCAGTCCCACCAGCGGGAAGTGATCAAAAAGCAGACAAACAAGTTCCTATCAGATGCAGTCTCCACTTCCCTTACTAGAGGACCCATTTGAGGCCTAAGATGCCAGTCTCTTACATCTTTGTCAGGAGCCTAGGTCCAATTCATGCATGGTCCTTGGTTGATGATTCAGTCTCAGCAAGCCCCTTTCAACTCTGGTTAGTTGACTCTGTTGGTCTTCTTGTGGAGTTCATGTCACCTCCAGATCTTTACCTCTTTTCTTCCAATTTTCTACAAGACTCTCTACACATCATCCAATGTTTGGCTGTGAGTATCCACTTCTGTTTTGAGGCACTGCTGGGTAGGACTTCTTGGAGAACAACTCTCTCAGACTATTATTATTACTATCTCTCAGACTGTTATTTCCTTCTATAGACTAAATTTTCTCATTATTAAAAGATGGGAGTTGCATTAACACTAATGATTTTGGAACATTGAGGAATCGGATTTTCTTAAGAACCTGCAGATTTCCTTCAGTCACACCGATATATGTGTATGCATGCATGTGTGTCTGGGGGGGGCGGTTGATGTTCACGTGTTTTTGTATAGTAATAGTATAAAGAAAACTCAGATTTCAAGATATGTATTTTTTGGGTTAAGCTATGTAAAATGTTGGGTGTATTGTAAGGTATGGGAGACAGACTCAATTCTTCTCTTCAAAAGAATTTAATTGGGAAAAGACGAATTACAATAAAAAGTGCATTGTGGTGAGGGCAGCCAAAGGGTAAGCACAGTTGCATGGGAGAGAAAAGAATTGGGGCAGAGACTCCTTCAGCTAGTGGGAAGGTAGAGAATGGAGGAGATGGATGACCAGTAAAAAAAAAAAAATAACTTATTAAGGGTCATGGGTTGTCTCTAACATGGTGAAGAGGTGTAAGACTGGAGGTAGGCATAAGGCATGGCACTAAAAGTAACAATGTAGCAGACAGTGTGGGGAGGGATGCATATTCACCCAACTAATTCAACAAAACAGATAAAAGTGAAACTGGCTACTTAGTGCTTAGACAATGCCTTCTGCGAACTCGTCCTTGCCTCATTAACACCCTTTTTCCAATGCATTATATATGAAATCTTATCATAAGATTGTTATTCACATATGTAAAATAAAATAAGCAGCTGTATAACTACTTCCCAACTTAGAAATCAAGCCTCAACAGCAGAACCAAAGAGCCTTGCTCCTGAGCACACACTTCATGACAGAGTCAGAGTTATTACACTCTCAGGAAAGGGACATGAAATTTAAAATTTATTTTATTAATTTAAGTTGCAAAGTATAACTGTCACGTGGCCTGGGACATGGCTGCCTCTGAGTTCTGGACATTTCTTCCCTGTACTAAACTTCGGGGCATACCACATCTTAGTGAAATGTCAATTGTCAGCTAATAGTGAGAAATTCTGGGCAGTCTGAACAACTTATTCCTTCAAGTGGCTAGTTTCCACATGAAATGTCAAATTGTAGTCAGATGTTTCCTTGGAAAATCTGGCCTAAAATGAATTAAAACTCTGACAGTACAAACTTAACCTGATCCATCCATCCATTCCTTCCTTCCTACCTGCTTCCTTCAGTTGCCAGATAAAATATGAAGATCTAATTTACTTTGTTTTCAGATAACATTTAAGATTCAGTATATTTTGATTTTTTTCCCTGCACGGTGCCTGCAAGCACATGAATAGAAACAGGACAGAGAGTCCCATCATCCCAGCTGAGCAACATGGTTAAGTATGCTCTCTAGAGACTTAGACTCAAGGAAGATCTGCTGGTGGAACCCTGATGTCTAACGGCAGATCTACAGTGGCATCCTGGTCTTTCTCGGCGCTCATCTGCTCCATCATGACGACGGGGAGAACTCCCCCCAACTGCAGCAGCTTCCTCTGAAGCATCTTTGAAGAGGATTCAGCTCTATAGACCTGAGCACAAGTGGATGATGGAGAGGTCAGATGTTGTAGGGTTGTTGTGTTGTTTGTGTGTGCTTGGATACATAAAATGAGGTTTGTTCCTCACGTTAAGCAAGAAACACAATAAGTGGGACTATGTTTCTCCCAGGGACAGGTGGGAACAACAGAAGAGTATGGGATAGGAGAGTTTCCTGATCACACTTTTGGTTCTTTCTACTACTTTTATCTTAAAGTTCACTCATTGTATATAAAGGATTTTCAATACAATTTTTAACTACAATAAAAACATACAATTATTTCTACCATGTCTACTCACCATTTTGAATATTATCGATAGCTGGTAATTTGCCTGGCCTCAGGTCCTCTGTACAACTATGTGAGTATGAAAGAAAACAAAAAAAGACAGAGAGTGTCACAGACCAGATGGACTCAGAAAAAATGAAGATGAATGAAATGGAGTAACAGAAAAGGGTAAGTGTGAAAACTAATTAAATCTAAACAAAATCAATAATTTAGTCAATAGCAATAACCTGATACTAGTCTCTTGTTATGATTAATATTTGACAGTAATGTACAATATTAGAATTAGGCATAGTGGGACACATCTTTAATTCCAACAATTGAGAGACAGAGATAAAAAGAGAGAGTTCTAGAAAATAAAGGCATGAGTAGCCCACTCCTCATAATCCTATCCCTGCTTTCGTTTATTTTACCCAATATCAATGACTTCCCTACCTGGGATGGACTTAGAAGCTCATCTGTGTACCTCAACTCCAGTTTACCTGTCTCAGGTTAGCAAATAACCATGAGCTATTTTTGGCTCTTAGTGTTAGGTCTCAAAGAACCCAGGGACAGATTCCTGAGGTGCCAATTAGCAAATTGAAGTGGATGCTTGCTGCCAGGCTCTCAGCATTTCAAGCACCTGTTACAGAATAATCCCTCACACAGCCTGGCAGGCATACCCTGCCCCGCCCTGAACCTCTCTACTCCCTGAGCTTCACTCCTCTTGCCCAGAGTCTCTTTTCTATGTAACTCAGCCATTTTGGCTACATGTCCTCTTGGTTCTCTTGGCTTTTCGGTTCTTCTGACTCTTGGTGCCTCTCTTTTTCTCCTCCTCTCTTCCTCTCTTGCTCCCCGTCCTCTCTCTTGTCATGATTCAATTCAGTTTACTGGCTATCTTCAGTCTAAATTATTCCAGATGCCTCTGGCTGTTTTATCCCTCACATCTACAGCAAAACTTCTCCACAGCCATACCCAGTGACAGTCATGTCTTCAGTTTTCATTCATTTGGATTCTTCTTTGCTTCTTAGAGTCACAACACTGACTTTTTGTGGGGATTTTCTCCTAACAGAGGAGTCTCTCCTCTATTATTATCCCCAAAAGTTTGTGAAGAAGCAAGACTAAGCTGTCAGTTGACTGACATGACATGAGAATGAACTATAAAATAGAGAGTAAGGAATATCAGAGTTTTATTTTGGATGTATGATTGACAACCCAAAAATACACCTCTGACATGAGAAGAAATGTTTCTTCCAGCAGCACTAGATGAAGGTCTATAAACAAAAGTCAACCACTGGTCAAGGCTCAACGCAATGACTAAGTGTCCAGCCACAGACACCAGATGTGTATATGCTGCAAACCCTGACAGATTTCCAATCCTCTAATTCCCGTGGAGAACAAAATCTTTTTTCAAATCTCAGAAGCTCTTTGCTTGAGCTCCTTGTTTAGCTGATTTATAAATGTTTGGTTTTTTGTTTGCATCAAATAAATTGTTTCCACCAGTGAGCTGATGATTCAGCCAGGGTGGGAAACCCCTTTGGTCTTGGGGCCATATTCTTGCTAATTTGTCATGCTGTGCTTATGGTCTCAACAATCCCTTCCTTTATCCTATGCTTAAAAGGAGTTTCATCTGTGGTTGCTAAAAGATTGGGCTGCACTAAAACATATGTCTTGTTTTTTTAAGGTAACATGGTGTTGATGGATGACTCTAGACAAGCAGAGATTAAAAGAAACAGCGCTTACGTCAGCTAGTGTGGACAGTATTATTGGAATGGAGACATGTGTCTTGCTTTTCTCACGGAGAAGGATCCTGTTTTCAAGGAGTATGTAGTTTTTGCAGTGTTATAGTGCAATCAGTGACTGTTAGATAGAAAGATAAGAGATTCATGATCAGCAACTGCAACATATTTTAAAATAAAATAAAAAAGCAGAAGGTAGAGCAGAGAACAATATTTGGTCTCCTGTTTTCCCCTAAGCTTACTCTATGAGTCTGTGACTCTTCAGCCCTACCACTGAGGGTGCCAGGCACCTAAGTACCAATTCAATCTCAGAAAGACATGCAGGCAGAACAATCACTAAATACTCTATTTCAGGAAGGACAGAGGAGCCTTATGAGAGA